CAGGTCTAATGTTTCACAGACTGTGATTAGCAGACTATGGAACAACCAACAAACTCAGTACGAACGATCGACCACGTTCAAGGCGTTCCAGGTCAGCGACAGGTGTACACTCTCAGAGTGAGGCACCTGATCGTCAGCACACAAAGTCAGCCATCTAACCCACTCAGCCATCGAGGCTTCCATAAAAAATGAAAGTCCGACAACTTTTAGTCTAGATCACGTACTTTGTGTACCCCTCTGACAAGTGTTAATTGGCACGGCTCCCATTGTCGAAAACTATGAATACACAATGCCATTTAGAAAGTGGTAATGTAAAAGATAGTGTCAGTTGTAGAATAGTCGGGCCTAAGCCGTCCTTGTTCTTCACTAAGTAATTTAGTTCCACACACGGTTTTCAAAAATGTTTGTATATAGTTAACCCATGATATTTAAGAGAGACATTTCTCTGTAGTTGGATCGTTTATTCACTTTCTGGGATTTAAACAAAGGAACGATCACCAATGTTCCATACAACAGGGAATATACCCAAATCTAATACCTTATCAAAAAGTCTCTCAAATAATAAGCGACAAAAACCGTTCCATATTCATAAGAAATCTCCGCCAAAAACAAAGTTGATTGTACGATTCCGACTCTATCATGAGCATGAATCAAATAGTGGTGACACCAGGTGTTCACGAACGCACAAACAAAGCACCTGAGGATTTAAAAACTCCATGATGAATACCGTCTTCACCCGCTGCCTTGTTCCATTTTAAATCATTGCTACACTCTAGCACCAAATCTTTTTCATCAGTAAAGTCACAAGACAATATCTCCTTTGAGAAGGAAAACTATTTTGCAGACGTGAGAATCAACATAATTATATACTATTGTATCGAAGCTAGACAATGACACTTATCTTTACAACGTAATCGTTCCTTAAAGTAATCAAACCACTGCTGAGGAGTTACATCGGTCACACTAGATTCAGACATATAATGCTTAAAAGTGCTCCAGAATAATTTGCAGTCTGCTTTCTTAGCCGCTTCCTTGATATCTTATGTCTCATCAAATAGAGTATATTCACGTTTTACCGGACAATATCGTCTGATATGATGGTTTGCAATTTAAGTACTTTCGTCGATTTGAATCACAAGCAGCATATTCTTCTCTGATCTAAGCTTTGCGCAATCCTTGTCAAACCATGGAGGTTGGCGTAATGTACTGCACTTTGACGACTACATTAGCTCCTGCCTTCAATAGCAAAAACTTAGGGCATCACATCGTATACTGTTTGAAGACAAAAGCTATGTGCTTTAAATACCTTGAGCTGTATGTCATGCTTTTTAACTTCAGTTTTGTTTTCTATTCTGCTGTGTGGATGTGTGTATGAAAGTGGAAAAAATCAAAAAAATCAGAATCTGTTTTCATATTATTAAAAAACTATTATACTCAAAAATGATTGCACCACTTGCCTTTCCATGGTGTACTGATAAAACCACATAAGCCTCCAACAAAACCTCAGAGTTCGCTGATGACTCCTCCGAAATAGGCAAAATACCAACCAAAATCAGAGTTTGAAGTGCACCAGTGTTCTCCAAAACGGCAATAGGCTTAAGCCGACACGAAACCTTTACTTACAAAAGGTATGTACTCCTGGTTCACAACAACAGACTTTGATGACTGGTCTACAACAGCTATCTCCTTATTAGCCGAAGCACAAAAAGGTTGTAACTTGACATTCGCAAAAGCATTCGGGGACGAGGTTTCCACGCCCTGGCTTGCGGCAATATCTAATGTATATTCACCCAGCGGCGATAGTGGTCAAGCTTCCGAGATGGAAATTCGGGAATGATGAGCGATCCTCACATGAAAACTGGTACCGAAGCGATGAAAAGCATGAGAGACGAAATGTGTGAGAGATGAGAGAGGCATGCTATTGTCCACTTATATACCGTCTACCTAGCTTCCAGAACTTTCTAGACCTTTCTGGAAAGACTCTATACAATTCTGGACGAGTCTCGCCGTTTCCGGAAATCACCACACCACTCCAGCATCTAAATATAGTAACTTCCTGACGACTGCTTACCTTAAATAGAACGACATTCCTGACAACTAATCACTGACAAAATACAATACAATGAGCCTCTACCGAACCTCAACAGAAACAATGTGACACAATTATAATCATTGTTAAACAACTAGTGGACGAATAATGCATTCGAACCAGTGTTATTTTTTTCTTCTAAATGTGTCTGTGTTGATAAGAAAACGTACAACTTTATGCATAACAATGATTGTCAGTGTTGATATAACATTCTGAACATCATTTTGTAGTTTGTAATAGTTTAAACAACTTTAAACAGCAACTTTAAAGTTTAAACAACATATCACTATTCGTTAAGTTGTTCTTAAAATTCTCGATATTTTGTCAGTTGTTCAGTTTTAGTTTCTAGTATATTCAAATCCTGGAATGCATGACATTTGTTAGAAAGGTCACAGTATCGCAATAATGACAGGGAAATAGTGCCTACGTGCAGGTTCATCACAAGCGGAATGCGGCTTGACCTAGTTTCGGTCCTCATCTAGGTGTACAAATCGACCATTTGATATTTGTTTTCTCGGTGTGTTTTTTGGTTTTGTGTCGAGATTTGATATTTCTTCAGTTTCAGCTACAGCACAAAAGCAGATATTTTTCTAATTTAAAACTATGGGCCTGAATTAATTTGAAAGAAACACCTTGCAACAAAGTAACGATATTTTTGTGGCAGGCAATTTCTTTTTTTCAACAGTCTGAAGCATCATTATTTTTTATTATTTTTTAAAGAATTTTCGTGACACTTTATTTTTTCGATACAATCCCGGGCTCTTTTAGAGAAGATGGTCTTGAGTGTTGACCTGAAATTGCTGACATCCTCGGATCGCCTGACAAGCACCGGAAGTTCATTCCATAGAGAAGCGCCAGCTCTGCTGAGAGTTCTGTTTCCACACGTTGTGGAGAAGATGGCGCCACCATCTGTTGTTGGCATGCCCGTAATGCCTGTTCATGGTGGTAAAACTTTGTAAGTTCTTGTAGGTTCTTGTTCCTGGTTCTTGGAGCCAGACCATGGAATGATTTGTAGACAAATACCAGCAGCCTGACCATGATTCTCTGTCTCACTGGCAGCCAATGAAGACCAGTGTTATGTGGTGGCGCATTCGACATGGACGCTGTATACTGCACACGCTGTATCTTGTCCAGATGATGTTGCTGAATGCCATGCATGAGTTTGTTGCAAGAGTCAAGTTTGAAGTGACAAATGCAGGGACTAAGCACTAGACAGAGTCTTTGTCCACATATCTACTGATCTGTCTGATATTCCTTATCCTATATGATGGAATGCGACCCGTGAAGATCCGGGGTAGAATAGGTCTTCAGCAACCCATGCTTGCCGTAAAAGGCGACTATGCTTGTCGGAAGGGGCGACTAACGGGATCGGGTGGTCAGGCTCGCTGACGTGGTTGATGCATGTCATCGTATCCCAATTGCGAGGATGGATGCTCATGATGTCAATAACTGGATTGTCTGGAACAGACTTGATTATTTACAGACCAAATTGCTTGATAGGCATTACTTAGAAGCTGACGGATGACAAGGTAAAAACAATTTAATGGATAACAACATCTATGATACTGTAAAAAGCGACGTTTCGGTATAGATCCTTAACAACTTGACAACGGTATAAGGATCTACACCGAAACGTCGCTTTTTACAGTATTAAAGAAGTTGTTATCCATAAAATTGTGTCAACCTTATTTACAGACCGCCGTCATATAGCTGGAATACTGCTGAGTGCGGCGTTAAACAACAAACGAAAGAACGAAAACATGATGCTATGCACTTTCGCAGATGTTATTCACATGGTTTCCTAAATTGAATGTTAAATCAATGTTCACGCCTAGATTTCTTGCATGACTGCTTGGTTGAACAATACTGTCCCAACCGGGATATTAGGACGTTGAAGATGACATACACTTGTGAGTGAGTGTGTTGGGTTCAACGCCGCTATTAACAATATTTCAAATATATTGCGATGTGTCAGCTTGACGTGGGAGGAAAGCCCGAAGTGACGCAGGTCTTAGATGTTTACCACTTCGGTGCACAAACCCACGGGCACGGGTATGGTGCTGACAAACCTTGAAACCTAATCGGGGCGAACCGGGATTCGAACCCATAATCATAGGTTTCTGGCGTGCCCAAGGGACGCAACTCCGCACAGCAAATCGCGGCGCCTTAGACGACTGGGCTACCCGTGCCACAAGGGGCACGTATGTAGCGTGCATCTTCTCAGTATGCTTCAACATTGGCCAAGGGTGTCCCTGTGGTCTTAGGCGCCATATCTCGCTGAGCAGAGTTGTCTCCCTTTCAGTCACCACCAAAACCTGGAACTCCTAGATCCACAATGAGTGTTTTATGCTTCTCAGACACAATAAACGTGCTTGTTTCACAAAAGTTGTAAGACCTGCATCACATCGAACGTTCCTCCCAAATCAAACTGACATGCCACTGTTTAAACTTACTCAAATCAGGTGGCTGCTTGTTTTTGTGTGTGAAACATATCGTAACACGTCATGAATTGTCCCATCATGTTATACGAACTAATATCCCTACCGAAGTGCTGTCTGATATACCATCCAGGTAGAAGAGTGAGTGAGTGCGGTTTTATGGCGACTTTAGCAATATTCCAGCAATATCACGGCGGGGGACACCTGAAATGGGCTTCACACATTGTACCAATGTGGGGAATCGAACCAGGGTCTTCGGTGTCATGAGCGAACGCTTTAACTACTAGGCTACCCGACCGCCCCTGCAGGCAGTAGAATAAGAAGAGTGTACCGACCAGTTGTTCATTGTGGATTCGAGTCTTAGACTCGCCCCGATCACATTCACGGCATTGGCAGTCGCATCATCTGACTGTAGAACCTTTGCACCTTTGTTCTGGAACTATCCGTTGTTCATGCACTCGAACACACACGAATAAAAGAAATCACAACGATTTTATTCCAGAAACAGTATACATAAATTCTTAAAAAACAGACATGTTAACATGGCAGTAAATTGAGCAGATCTACGTTGGATGTCTAACATTCTAACATCAAGATACTTCTTACATTCACAAAACTGGACCTGGCAGTGGAACATATAACACATCATAATACCGACTAATGTGCATTTTCAATTCATAGACCGCCTCCGTGGTCTTGTGGTAGAGCGTCCGCCCGGAGAGCGGAAGGTCCAGGGTTCGATCCCGGGCCGCGTCATACAAAAAGACGTTAAAAGATTGTACTTGTTGTTACCCTGTCTGGCGCTCGGCATTAAGGGGCTAAAACAAGGACTGGTCGGCTCGGAGTCTGAGTTGGGTATTCATGTTAAACTGCGACATGGTATCTCAGTGAGCTAGCAACTATAAATCGGCATCAGTCCGTACTAGTACAAGCAGCCACACACACACATACACGTGCATGCACGTGGCTATATAAGTGCAATAATCTTGGACGCGACGTTAAACCCAATTTCACCTCACCTCACCTTCAATTCATAGATTGCAACCTTAACAAAGAGATCATCCGCTGTGCTTAAATTCAATCGGAAATTGTTGCAGCTTTAAAATTTTAAAAAAAAGCAGCATCTATGTGATCAGTGAATATGGCGCGAACTAGTCAAAGTATTTATACATTTAACTGTTTTGCGTTTTTAGTTTGAATGCGTATTGTGCGCGTTTTTATTGTCAGGAAAGTACCACGTACGGCTCCTGAGAAAAACTATAGAATACAGTTCTCTAACGAAGCGCTACCAATGACACGCATCGTCACTACTTCACGGGCCTGCATACACGCCCGTGAAGTATTAACGGTGAATGTCCTGGGTACAGGTTAAAGTAAGCTCACGTGGATGGACATCTGTTTTCCCAGTAACCATTGCAATTGACACATATTGTTTCTGTTCATACACAAACCATGTTCTCAACAAACTTTTATACCGACAATCACACATCGAGATACGCGGTCTTTCAAAGACATTTCACATTCGCGTTTGTAGCTGCCATGTTTGATCGTGCCCAAGTCTGACTACATCACTTCCGGCATTAAGGCCACGCCGACTTTGATCAAGTGTAAATTCCTACTCTCAATTTACAAATAATTTTAAAGAGCATGTTTGGATTTCTTATCCTCAATGTACGAAGAAAGTTATTTTTATTAAATAGCTCCCGTACATCTGTTGTGTTTTTCGTGTATTAAAATGTTTCATTTGAAGAACCACTGATTGTTTTGGGATTTCGCAACATATAGATTTCGGAAATGAAATTGAGGTAAATGAATTATCAAAGATGTAAATGTCATCTTAAATTATTTAAAAATATATGAAAAATTAATCAAATCAATTTTAATAATCGGAAAGGAGCCTTCCGTAAGTCTAGTTGTTTCAAGCCCTACCAACCCGGAACACTTTATCCACACCCAAAATCATGTAATCCTGGAAGTAGAATATGTTTTCAATAAACAGGGTGTCTAAATGATATCTAAATATAGACTCCCTTACAAATCAACAAATCAGCATTACTGCTAATCGCTTGTCTGTAGCTACGATGTCTGTTACGTGACTGAACGCGATGAACACGTTTTTTCCATGGGGTAGGCCACAAAAATTGTTCTAACCTTGGTTGTTCATTGCATGTAAATATCACTTTGGGAATGACTGATGAATTGAAATATGTTGAGATCATAACCGGGAATAATAAGACCGTTTCAATTTAACGGAACATTTCTCAGGTGCTAACATTTGAGGAACGCAAAATGTGTTTTTTTTTATGATACTTCAAAATGAGATATTATGACTTGAAATTTCATTTTTACAAAATGACAACGTACTCAAAACCGGGATGTTCAGAACCTACAATGAGGCATCCGGCGAAATATTCCATTAATTCTGGTCTAGTTGTATTTCCTCAAACAACCACGGTGAAGGTATGACGTGAACTGATGGTTGACGTGGAACATGTAAAATATATACGTTAATATGGAATCCTAGATATAGTAGCCACATCCCTCAACCAAGCCATTCGTCACCACTCGCAACTTTCCGTTATGTTTTTGGTTTGTTCCGAAGTGACACGAATGGATTTAGGAAAAATGATTGCGAGTTGTGGTGAATGGAATAGGTAAGGTTAGTCGTCTTTCGCATCTTATCGTATCTTTTAAAAAAAGAACTACGATTTTATGTCCTATGGACAAATAACAGTCAACGAAATATCACGAATGAGTAAGTTACTTGCAATGGAAAGACACGTCAATTCACGAATGAATAAGGTACTTGTAACGGAAACATACGAAAAGACACGAATGAACAGCAATAGCGTGAACAAAATGAAAGCATTCGGATTTCAAAGACAGGTATCGTACTCTGTAATCTGACAAATGTCACTGGACAATAACACGTGCTGATTTCTCAAGCATGTTTGGATTTGGCATTTGTAAAGCTGGAGAAATCCAGTGTCCTAAACTGGTTCCACTGTTGGTTCGCGCGGCAAGTAAAGCGCTGTTAGCCTGGAGCCCAGTCACTCCAGTGCCCTGTGTTCTACATGAGAGAAGCTGCTACCGTTATGTGACTACAGAATCCTACAGTTTAACCAACAAAACATGACATGGTCGACATATAGTCTATACTTTACAATTTAATCATTTGTTCGTCGGATGTATTGGTTATAACCATGGAATCTCCGAAGGGACATTATTACATTGACGACAATGCCCTTCTAGGATTCCGTAATAGAAGTCAGTGGAATTCGAACGTTTTGAACTTTCTTTCAATGGAGTTAACTCTTACCAAAAATATAAAAAAATCACTTTTCTCATTGATGGTGTTAGCACTTCGTATGTTTTGCACCAGACTATTAAAGTAACATCGAACGTTCATTCCAAGCACAGACAAATTCCATAACGATGCTTACCATATTGTCCAAATTTTGGCGTCATTAGATTTCGCCACACACGAGCCCTAAATGGTAGTTGTACAATGGTAGCGTGTGAAGAAATGTAATTACTCAGAGACGTATATACGTCACGTGTAACTGGGGGTATTCCTGCCTTTGGGTTTGTTTAATAGGCTTTATGAGTGCATTGCCAGAGATGATACTTTAAGAGGGTTATCATACCTCCATGTCAGCATGACGAGATCTAATTGGTCCACGTGATCTTGATAAAATACCGTGTAACCCGCCTTGGAAGCTTATACATTTCTCAGCGGGAGCATAAATCTCTTATACCCCACCACGAACAATACAGGCTGCACGTGGATTCCGGCTCATGGTATAAAACCTAACGCGGGACGCATCAAATCCCATGTACCCCGAGTGATCCTGCTACAACTTATATCATATGTTAGCTGTTCAAAACTTTGATCGGACGTCTCCCCCCCCCCCCCCGACGTTACTTTTGTGGCTACGTATGGCCATCTGAAATTTTAGTCCGAAAAGTATTGTCCTCGGTTTCGTTGTCAACGTATTTTAAGACAAAATTGCGAATCCGACGAAGAAATAACTCCATTGTTGTGGCAAAACTAAACCATGATGAACTATGATGGGTGACCTTGACTTCAAGGGGATCAAGTTAGATAACTCTGAACTCGAATGATCCGTCAATACCACCGAGATGATCCGAGGAGAAGGACGCTCCAACTTCTCGCAGGCCGCGACTCCGGGGGGTGATCTCAAACTCGAAAGATATAGTTTCCTTTGGTCCAATGGGTTTTCTGAAAGGCAACGGGAAGAAGCATCACGGATGGGTTCTGGAGGGGCTTAACAAATAAGCGCAATAACGAAGACAAATCCATATGGGCAGAGACAAACATAACACAAATCATCAAATCATTATGACGGAAATAACAGAGGCAATCTGAATCAGTTGTACCGAATATATTATGGAAGAAAGATTAAAGGGAGCTGCAGTATCCAGAGAGGGATCGGGGCTGCAATTTAGGTGCGCACCCCCTTTTTTTCATAACCTCCCATGTTAACTGCATGCCCACTCGGATGAATCACTTAGGTATTATTTGCATCCTCTTTTTTCCAAATCCTGGTCATCTTCGCGAGGCAAGAGCTTCCACAAACTTATTTATCAAAGTCTAGTTTCCACCCCTGCCTTATCAAACCAATTTTCCTGTGCTAAAAATGTTTGGACTATCACCAATATCGATATCAAACGTATCACAAAATCAACATCCGAAAACATGGCCGCTGCCATAGCGTGTCGAATTTGCGCTGACGTCTTTTTAACAATTGAGCAAAGACAATTATTTTCTAAGTCTTTCCACGTCATAAATCATGTCGCTTGTAAGCGGTTCACTGTTGAGAACAGTCATTGCCAAAACTGGTACACATTCGTATGATAGTTTATTTACTGCTGCCTGTCTTTGTTGACACGAATATGTCATTTCCATCTACCCCTCAACAACTGCCTTTATTTGACTGTCAGGGATAAAATGGTGAATGTTTTCGTTATCTGATCGACCATTCATTGTAGTCGCCATGTTTGAAGCCGTACGAGCCAAGATAACCGATTTGATTGCATAAAGGGGCACAACTCGTGACCTGCGCGAGGTGGACCCACGATCGATCCAAGGAAAGGGGGCTGGGTGTGACAAGGGTAGAAACTAGGCTTTAATATAGGCTAGTGAACATGCTTGACTCGGGAAGATGGACAGTGCTGGGCATGAGAATGTTTGATTTTAAACAAAGGTATACACATCGATGAAAATAAGCTTGGACAATGCCATAACGATACTTATCAATTATTAAATAGAACAGAATATATATATTCTTCCACATATTCTGTAACTCTGTAGAATGTTTTCCTTATATTCCAAAGGTTAGGAAGGGGTGATTCATTAATGAGACACCAACACGCCCGAACTTACTTGTAGTCAAACTGTTGAACCTTGACCGCCGACCCCCCTTCAACCTGAATCGAAGCACCGGTCACCTTGATCTCCAAAGGATTCGTGAAGGACACTTTTCCAACATATTTTTCCTTAGGACGGATTTTGCCAGGGACCTGTGCAAGACGAAAACAATGTGTTAACTGTCTGCTGATACTGAATACAATGTGTTAACTGTCTGTTGATACTGAATACAATGTGTTAACTGTCTGTTGATACTGAATACAATATGTTAACTGCCTGTTGATACTGAATACAATGTGTTAACTGTCTGTTGATATTGAATACAATGTGTTAACTGTCTGCTGATACGGAATGCACTGTGTTAACTGTCTGCTGATACTGAATACTATATGTAAACTGTCTGTTGATACTGAATACAATGTGTTAACTGTCTGTTGATACTGAATACAATGTGTTAACTGTCTGTTGATACTGAATACAATGTGTTAACTGTCTGTTGATACTGAATACAATGTGTTAACTGTCTGCTGATACTGAATACTATAAGTAAACTGTCTGTTGATACTGAATACAATGTGTTAACTGTCTGCTGATACTGAATACAATGTGTTAACTGTCTGTTGATACTGAATACAATATGTTAACTGTCTGTTGATACTGAATACAATGTGTTAACTGTCTGTTGATACTGAATACAATGTGTTAACTGTCTGCTGATACTGAATACAATGTGTTAACTATCTGTTGATACTGAATACAATGTGTTAACTGTCTGTTGATACTGAATACAATGTGTTAACTGTCTGCTGATACTGAATACTATATGTAAACTGTCTGTTGATACTGAATACAATGTGTTAACTGTCTGCTGATACTGAATACAATGTGTCAACTGTCTGCCGATACTGAATACAATGTGTTAACTGTCTGCTGATACTGAATACAATGTGTTAACTGTCTGCTGATACTCAATACAATGTGTCAACTATCTGCTGATACTCAATACAATGTGTAAACTGTCTGCTGACACTGAATACAATGAATTAACTGTCTGCTGATACTAAATACAATATGTTAACTGTCTGTTGATACTGAATACAATGTATTAACTGTCTGCTGATACTAAATACAATGTGTCAACTGATACGCAATGAGTGAGTGAGTGAGGTTTAACGCCGGTAAAATCAAAAGGTGAGGAACCAGGCGAAATGGCGAGCGTATCCTGCCTCGCTGATGGCAACCGTCACAAACACATGCAAGTGCAAGTCAACTGTTCACCTGATTAAAGAGGTAAATTACGCCACTTACTTCGATCAGAAGTGGCGGTTTAAGGAGACAGAAGGCCTCTGTGTCCGCCCACATCTGCCTGGTCTCGGTCACTCTGTAGTTGGCGCACGCCTGGAAGGTGGCCTCTGCGTTCAGCTTGCTCTGGAACTCCTGGCGGCTGACCTTCACCGTGATCTTCTCCTCTGAGAAGGAACCAATTCAACATTAGTGACATCTTCCCGAGGCAAGGGAATTAAGTGACTCCAAAAGGCCAGTTTCAACAATTGCCGAACGAAGCTGGAATTTCTGAGCTTGATTGTAACGCCACCAGTGGTTATTACGAGTTAGGTCACTTGTATATGTCACTCCTATTGACCAATCAGATCACCTCTCATATCACTTGCATTTGCTTTAAACAAAATGGCGGCGCCAGTCAAGACGATCTAATCGATGATCAAGATGTATATTGTAATAAAGCGGGCGCAGTGACATCAACTCACGTGAGCATTTTGATTAAAACCATGAAAAGATTTGGAAATATCTGAAAATAAACGCTAAGTTGACGGGACATATTGCAAATCCTGCAATCGACCCAAATCTGCACGGCAGTTTACGAACCGGATGTCGATTTCGTTTCGCGATTTTTACTGGACTGTGCAAAGACTCGTTAGTCCAGCCAAAATATAACTCCACAAGTGTAGAAAAGGTCTGAGACCTACATTACTTCAACAGGCTAAAAATAATGTTTAAACTTCCCTATTTTCACTCACGTTGTTTGGCTTGGATTTTCACATCGGTTATTTCTCCTTTCAGCCGCTTGGCGGGATTGCCGGTGTAGTATGACGTCAGCACGGACATGCGCCCACGAACAGTTCGTGTTTGGCTTGATGTGTTCTTTATAATCATGGTAACCACGAAGTCTTCTGACACGGAGGCCGTTTCAGGTACCTCGAGGCAAAACTCGACGTCAGATTCCACGTTCGTGCCGTAAATATCTTCATCTTCACGAGAACTGAACTGGTTGACGAACTTGACAACTTGCCTTTCCTTGTCCGAACCTGCCACAGAGAGGTAGAGAGTATTATATGAACAGGATGGGATAAACAGAATAAAGCTGTAGCAGGCCGTTTATTATTATGATAAATAAATGAATAATGAATGGATGAATGAGAATTTCCAGGATCACCCAAACACATGCATTAATTTATTGAAAACTGTAGTCGTAGTAGTAGGATGATGATAATGATGATAATGATGATGATGATGATGATGATGATGATGATGATGATAATAATAATAATAATAATAATAATAATTTCCAGGATCACCCAAACACATGCATTTATATATTTAAACTGTAGTGGTAGTAGTATGATGATGATGATGATGATGATGATGATGATGATGATGATGATGATGATATTAATAATAATTTAGGCCACAACATGCCTCCTACCTTCAGGATACTTGTACAGGTGGGTCACATCCTCCCGCAATGGGGAGTTCTTGGCCTTGGTGCTGATGAACTTCCCGACGGCGTGGCTGTTGATACGGAGCACTTCCATGGCGCCATCTCCATCAACCTGCAACGAAGGAAGCGAGTGGCTGGTGTTTCAGGACAGTCAGTCATCATGTAACATGTACGAGATGTTGTGACAGGGAGAGGGGGAAGTCAGGACTTTACATGAACATTGTATATTGACACTGAGAGTGACTTATGACACAGATGGGAAACACTTCTGAATATGTACTCAGGTTGTCAGCATCATACCTTTGCCAGTGGGTTTCCCAATCTTCCCGAGGCAAGGGAGTTAACTAACTATAAAAGCCCAGTTTCCACCCTTGCCGAACTAGGCTGCAATTCCGGAGTAACAGTTCGGCTGGACTAACGAGTCTATGCATAGTCCAATCAAAATCGCGTAACGAACTAGACATCCCGTTCGTAAACGAACATGGACTTCAACGTGCAGATTTCGGTCGACTGCAGGGGTATCAAAGCATGTATACCGCCAACTTGGCGTCGACAGATATTTTGCAAAGCCTTTTATGTTTTAAATCAGGGTGCTCAAGTGATTTGATGCACTTCGAGGGGTAAGACCCGTTTTATTGCAATATAGATCTTGATTATCGATCAAATCGTCTTGACTGGGAGCCGCCATTTTGTTTGAAGCAAATGCAAGTAATAGGAGAGATGGAATTTAAATGATCAATAGGAAGGACACTGAAGGGACATAACTCGTAAAGCCGTTGGTGGCGTTACGATCGAGCCTGGAAATTTCAGCCTAGTTCAGCCAGGGCGGAAACCGGACTCTTATAGTCAGTTAACTCCCTTGCCTTCCTTCAACATCAAGCTGACACGCCGTGATATAACTGGAATACTGTTCAAAGCGGCGTTAAACTCCAACTCGCTCACTCACGCATACCGCTCATTTAGGACCGACCTGCCAATGGACCTTGTCGCCGTTCACCTCGCTAAAGACGAAGGCTGTGTCGTAGCTGAGGTACACGTGACCTTCCTTAATGGCCTTGAGAGACGCCGGGCCGCACCTCATCACGCCTGGCAATGGACAAAGTAGCATTTACGATTTCATATACAACAGGTGAGGGACGAAACACAAAGCATAAAAAGCACTACCACCTAGTCCCTCTCAAACATTATACATACACATATTAGTTAATATTCAACACAAAATAATATGTCCACTGCACAATATCTATTTGAACATTTCAAAACTCACATAGTCATCTTCGATCACCCAGTGTACTATATCTCTATTCCACTACTGAACCTATTAGCCTCAATTGCTTTGTTTTGAGCCCTATTAGAATGACAGTAATAAAACAGTCCTATTTAAACAGCCATCCAATCAAATCACTTATATGAGCGAAACATATTCTGTGCTAAGTTAGTGATACGCTATGACGTCCAGGGCATGTATCCTAACGTAATGGAGATAAAATATTCTGGATACACGAGGATGCCGTAACAATGTTCGATTATAGTTTTAGTATACCAGTGCCTGAATTTCTTCTTTGATTGTATAAATAATAAATTATAAAAAAATATTCTTGAATGTATTCTATGTTTCGATGTCAATTTGCAGTATCATATTGAGGGGCCATGCTCCCTGGTATTCTGACCATATCAACCGCACGCCGTGCCACGTGTGACGCCGTGACATTGTCTTCATGTTATGAACAACGGACGCGTTGATGTACACAGTTTAATTGGAGTCGGCTGACACAAATCTGAGTGTGTTACCTTCACTGCATTCCTGTGGCGTGGAATCGTGAGCCTGCCAGCCATCGTATCCATTGGGGAGGTCAAGACGTCGCAGAAAAGACTCATTCCACACGTGGAAGTTCCTGGGAAAAGTGCCAGAGGGTTTATATCACTAACGCGGAATGTGGGACAAAAGACAATATATTCCTCCGCATTCGCAGTTTACTGGCTGTGAACCTCTTTATCAACGTTCTGCAGTTTGGTAGGTACATGTTTCTGACACCCTTTACATATATACAAGACTATAGTGTTGCAGGTCTCTTAGGCAATGATTATTAGTTTCATAATAATTTCTAGATGATGTATATATTAACAAGCAGCTCTCACTTTACAAGACTTGCCTATCATAAGGATAGAAATAATATTCATCCATGGACGTGAACAGCCTTGGCGCAAAGCTATCTTGGTGGTCGTCAAAAAATGAAACATGTATTTCGTGAGCTTACAAGCTCACAATCACACACAGCCGACGACCACCTCCAACTGAGCTATGTGTGTCGGCCTACCAGACGGAATCGTCCATCCAATCCACTGGTTCCCCCTCCTCGTCCCAGTGGGAGTCGATGGTCATGCTGCTGTCGGTGTCGTGGGCGGACTCGAAGTTGGTGACTGATCGGGTGCCAATACCCAGGCTGCGCAACACTGTAGAACATAGCAAAGAGAGGCGTGTGAAAGGGTAACTTGGCTACCCACATGGGTTTGTTTGTTTGTTTATGCGGCGTTTGTTTGTTAATGCCGCACTCAGCAATATTCCACTTATATGACGGCGGGATGTAAATAATAGAGTCTGGACCAGACAATCCTGTGATTGACATCATGAACATCGATCCACGCTTCGCCGTTGTTCAATAATATCTCAAAACTAGTTTCATAACAGTACATTTTGCAAATGGTGGTCTCCATAATGTAGGGCTTGTAAGATATGATGAGGGTTTGCAACATTTATTTGTTAAGCTCTCCTGGCCAGTGAACTTTTGGAACTAATTCATACACTACTTGTAGCCGATTTTTATATTGACTTGTCGCTACACAGAACTATCTTACATTTATTTTACAGAGCATACTAGGGCGGTCGGGTAGCGTACTGTCTCACATGGGCCCTTTTCTGGAGTTTCCCGCCGTGATATTGCTGGAATATTGCTAAAAGCGGCGTAAAACCAAACTCACTCACTCACTCGAGTGAGTGACTTTGGTTTTACGCCGCTGGAATATTGCTAAAAGCGGCGTAAAACCAAACTCACTCACTCACTCTAGTGAGTGAGTTTGGTTTTACGCCGCTTTTAGCAATATTCCAGCAATATCACGGCGGAGGACACCAGAAATGGGCTTCACACATTATACCCATGTTTTTACTTATAAAACAAAATATAATGTCCTAAGTAAATACAGAAGAAGCTGAACCAGAACTCAACCTACACGTGGTCACCACTCCCGAGAACACCCAACACTGGCCATATTTCACCGGCTTTCTGGTCTTGTAAAACTGCTCCAAGATGGCGACACTTCCGGGCCACAACCATGGCGCAGTTGAATTTTTAGGGTATGTCTCTGTCCAGCGGCCTTCCAGAACACCGTCGTCGTCGTTGCTGTTAGTCTACAAATTATGTTAAATTACGTTAAAACTATGTTAAATGCATCGGCAGTACGTAACAGGTTTTGCAAACACTGCGTTCTTGCATCAAGGAAAATCATCGTGTATGCCAAAACAACATATACTGACGATGTTTGAGGGGTGTTCATTTAATGTTTGATTGTTTGTTGTTTGACGCCGTACTCAGCAACAATCCACTTATATGACTGCAGTCTTTAAATAATCGAGTCTAGACCAGACAATCCAGTGATTGTCATGAGCATCGACCTACGCAATTTGGAAACAATGACATGCATCAACCAAGTCAGCGTGCTTCACCACCCGATCCCGTTAGTCGCCTTTTACGACAAGCATGGGTTGCTGATGACCAATTCACAGGGGTCAATGGATGTCCTTAAGCTGGTATCGTGAACGTGGATGGCATTTACTTGTTGGTAATAATAAAAAAAAGGGACATCCTGCGTTAATAGTTTAGATGTTCCCAAATTAACCATCTTCCCGAGTCAAGGGAATTAACTGACTTTTAAAGTCCAGTTTCCACCCTTGCCGAACTAGGCTGGAATTCCTGGGATCGATTTTAGCGCCACCTGTGGCTTTTACGAGTTATGTCCCTTCTATGCCTCTCATATGGACCAATCAGATTCCACCTCTCGTATCACTTGCATTTGTTTCAAACAAAATGGCGGCACCCAGACAAGACGATCTGGTCGACAATCAAGATCTATATTGTGATAAAACGGGTCTTACATCGCGAAGTGCATCAAATCATGTGAGCACCTTGATTTAAAACTTGAAAAGATTTAGAAAATATCTGTTGACAACGAGTTGACAGTTTACGAACCTGATTTCGATTTCGTTTCGCGATTTTGATTGGACTATACTTGGACTCATTAGTCCAGCCAAAATGTAACTCCATAATACCAGCCGAGTTCGGCAAGGGTGGAAACTGGACTTTTATAGTGAGTTAACTCCCTTGCCTCAGGAAGATGAAATTAAACTGTGAATTTCATTTATAGTGGAAAAAATAGCCAGAGTGAAAGGTTTTCAATTGGACTTTATCATTTGCTTGTTTCAGTTGAATACGTTGTTCCATTTCAAGGACACATTTTTAGCAGGTGTAGCGGCAATAAAATGTCAGAGTCACGTGATGGGATTCGAACCACGGACCTTCTGATACGAGGTCGGACGCTTTGTCCACATGACGAATTAGCTTAACCTATCAGCAAGCTGACAAGGTAAGGATGTCATCTTTGGGAATCTTCTTTGCCCTAATACATAGGGAAACAATAATTGTGACCCGCCTGGAGAAAAGGGTGCTGGGATACAATTGTGCTATGACGTCATAAAGTTGTTTGTCAGCAACTTACTTCAATTCGCCATATGTTATTTTTCTATCGTTACTTCGTAATGTAATAAAAGGATTATTTAAAAACCTTTCAGGTTACATGTCTACTTTCAAAACATCAACTGGATAACCGAGGCTGCATACAGACATATATGAGTCAGTGTGACGATATGAGTTCGCTCCCCTGAACGTTTCTAGCGTCTGTTGGGCAATTAATAGGATCAGATTTTGTGTTTGATTGTTCAGCGCCGCAATATTCCAGCTATGTAAATATCGAGTCTAGACCCGACAAACCATTGATTGATATTAAGAGCAAGGTATCATATTGTCGTGTTCGTAACGATCCCGCCCAGTCAACAAAGTCAACGAGTCTGACCATCTGATCCAGTAGGATGCCTCCCACGACGAGCACATGTTGTTAGGGACCAGTGAGGGTTTTCATATAGAAATGTGTTTTGTAGATATGCTTACCATGGCCGAGATTGCTCTGATGACAGCAACCGGGCTCCCTCTCGCTGTGTCCCCCAGTTCCGCATTGTCCAGCAGCAGTAGCGCGGCGTCCAAGCAGGGCTCATCGAACTGGTCAAGAGATAGCCAACACATATAAACGAAACGAATATCCAATAGAACCGTTTTGTAGAACCTATTTAAACTGGCGGCCAAAATAAACTTTACCATAGTTTTAAATCACTCAAACAAAAAAGATAGATGCAGGAAGTAAAATGTCTGGACAAAATCATAATCTAAAAGAAATCAACATTTAAAATGACAGTCATTTAGCATGCAGGGATGGCCCAATCGTCTGAGGCGCTGGGAGTCGTTGTGCGGAGTTGCGTCCCTTGAGCGTATCAGAAAACTAAAGATTCGGTCTGATTATCCTTCTAGGTTGGTCAACGTCATATCAATGCTCGTGGGTTTCGCCAAGGTGGTAAATGGTAAGTATCAAAGACCTGCATCTCAGTGTCCTCCCATATTGAGCTGACACGCCGTGATATATCTGAAATACTGTTTTAAGCGGCGATGAGACAAGACATTCTTACTTATGTGTGCCTTGCTGGCCGTTACACTGACCTGTCCGAAGTTCCAATGTCTGCCTCTGTGGTTCCTTGATGACCCAACCCATATACGGCCGGAATCTCTCAGCACGTACTCGTCCCGGTCACTACTGTCCGGCATATACACCGCGTCATCTGGTGGGCAAACAAGGCAGACACTTAGCGCACATACACATGTACGACATAGGTCATACCTTATAGCACATATACGACATAGGCCATACCATACAGCACATATACGACAGAGGCCATATCATATAGCACATATACGACATAGGACATATCATATAGCACATATAAGCCATAGGCCATATCATACAGCACATTTACGACATAGGCCATATCATATAGCACATATTCGACATAGGACATATCATATAGCACATATTCAACATAGGACATATCATATAGCACATATACGACATAAGTCATATCATACAGCAAATTTACGACATAGGCCATATCATATAGCACATATACGACATAAGTCATATTATATAGCACATATAAGCCATAGGCCATATCATACAGCACATTTACGACATAGGCCATATCATATAGCACATATTCGACATAGGACATATCATATAGCACATATTCAACATAGGACATATCATATAGCACATATACGACATAAGTCATATCATACAGCAAATTTACGACATAGGCCATATCATATAGCACATATACGACATAAGTCATATTATATAGCACATATAAGCCATAGGCCATATCATACAGCACATTTACGACATAGGCCATATCATATAGCACATATTCGACATAGGACATATCATATAGCACATATTCAACATAGGACATATCATATAGCACATATACGACATAAGTCATATCATACAGCAAATTTACGACATAGGCCATATAATATAGCACATATACGACATAAGTCATATTATATAGCACATATAAGCCATAGGCCATATCATACAGCACATTTACGACATAGGCCATATCATATAGCACATATTCGACATAGGACATATCATATAGCACATTTTCGACATAGGACATATCATATAGCACATATACGACATAAGTCATATCATACAGCAAATTTACGACATAGGCCATATCATATAGCACATATACGACATAAGTCATATTATATAGCACATATAAGCCATAGGCCATATCATACAGCACATTTACGACATAGGCCATATCATATAGCACATATTCGACATAGGACATATCATATAGCACATATTCGACATAGGTCATATCATATAGAACATATTCGATATAGGCCATATCATATAGCACATATTCGACATAAGCCATATCGACACATATACGACAGGAAATAGACGTAAATTCATTCTCGTGCTTTGTGACAACGATGTTCCCGCTTCTTGTGTTTCTACGTCAGACAGGTTTACATTGAAACAGTCGGTTCACAGTGGGTTGTTGCTTGTTGTTATGGCTAGGTTTGGTCAGTTCACAATGTCAATAACAGTAACTACAAGTATACAAGCAACTTGTAGTTACTGTTATTGACATTGTGTGGCTTAAGGTATAATACATGCATAAGCAGAACAAAAATCTGTTAATATACAATGGTTTTAATTAAGTATATTTTATTGCTTGTAATTTCGGTTTGGTAATTCACTGGGCTGGCATTATTTTAGATATTATAGACCAATTTGAAAAGAAATACCGGAGAAGTATGTATACTTTAATAAATTTAAACCTATTAAATTACAAACCAGGCGGAGAAGCGATGAAATAAAATGAAAAAAGAGCTGACATGTTTCCATAAATTCATCCACCAATAGATAGCGTGGAGTGCCTGAGATTTTACGTTCGCATCGTTAAATATGGATAACGGCAGAGGGTTGAAGAATAACCCAGTTCTGTTCCTTTGTTTTAGGTGTTTAGTGTTTCGCTTGTTCTTTAACGCCACACTCCGTGTATATAACCCTACCTCTACACCAAGCATTGGAACTACACTGAACATATGACATATTACATGTATATATGATCCTACCTTTACACCAAGCATTGAAGAGAACAAAGACATCCTCATCCTCCAGTTCATATCTGTTTATTTTCTTTTCGCCCTCTATCTTGCTCTCAACGTACACGCTGTAGCGGCCGACGATGGCGCGTTTGAAGGCCGTTACTGTTGCCGTCAGCTTGCTTCCAGTGATGTTGACATTATTCACGATCCAGTCCCGGGCACGCTTGGGAGGTTTTGTTTTAGCGAGGAGGGGGAGACGGAGTAGACTGCCTTTGCTCTCCTGGGGGCGGGCACCTGTCAGAGATCAATTACATTAATATACATGTACGAGATCATTTGTTATGTTTTTTTCTTTCTACTCTTGATCGGGTTCAGTGAAAGTCAATTAATCAAACTCGAATTTCTTGACATCTTCACACAATTGCTAATTAAACAGTTATAAGCGTTAAAGATGATGAAAAAACCCAAATGGTTTCTCCTTTGTTGGATCATGGGGTACCCATGTGGTTTAAGCCATCGATTGGTTTAGTGTGTCCTCTCCTCCACCACCAAACCGAAACACCCTCTCTCGGTGTGCCCGATATGCTTGAATATTTTTATAAGCAGTGCAAAACCAAACAAACAGCCTGGTTCATTTCGTTGAAACGCCCTTTGCGGACTGGCATTATATCTTTATAAGAATAAATGAATTTGGGTTTTGGAAACAAAACTGGAAAATAATATTTTGTCCTCCACTTGTACAATTTGTACTCCAAACTATAAGTTGGATGGCCTGAGGAAAATGTGTTTTAAAAAATAATTAATCATAAAATGGTTTACAATTATCTAAGAATAAAATGGTGAGTTCATCAGGATTACCTGTTGTGAATTGTAGAAATATGACGTCAGAGCTTTTGGTGATGGCTCGGTCGAATGTGATGGACAGGTCAAACGCTTGGCCCCTCCTGATGACCAGGTCCTCCTTTTCGAACTCGTCCGTGTGGTGCTTCTCCTTGTTGGACTCCTTGTGGAGATCCACGGACGACACCTTGATGGCTTTGGCTGAAATAAAAATCAGGTTTTTGTTTGTTTATTTCTTGCTTAACGCCGCACTAAGCAGTATTCCAGCTATATTCCGGCAGTCTGTAAATAATCAAGTCTGGACCAGACAATCCAGTGATTGAATATCATGGATCCACGCAAATGGGATACGATGACATGCATCAACCAAGTCATCGAGCCTGACCACCCGATCCCGTTAGGCGCCTCTTACGACAAGCATAGTCACCTTTTACGGCAAGCATGGGTTGCTGAAGACCTACTCTACCCCGGATCTTCACGGGTCTAAACAGCAGGTGTACCAGTGAACTATATGAGGTCTGGACAACAGATAATCCATGTAAAGACCACAGGACCATCAGAAACGTATCGAGTTATCCTTATTTCGAGACAACCGGAGTGTCGATATATCGGACAAGATTCTACAGAGACAATAAACCCATCTCTCACTTATATAGTGTGGAAGTAGTATTAGTGAAACCACGTCCGTCCGTTTGCCGGAACTAACTTACCTTCTGCAAGAACTCTAAGGGCCGCAATCCTTTTCCTGTACTCCTCATCACTGAACATGCATCGTCGACGTCCCTCTTGATCTCCTCCCATCAAGCGACATCTCCGACTGCGTGTTCTATAACAATGAAAAGGTACGTTTAGTAGAGACAATGTCAGCGTGGCGTCAAGCAAGTCATGTGTTTTAGTGAGTCGCGAACTACAGTGACAAGTTTGGGGCAAAAGAGAAAACCAGATGGGGGATGCAAAATGTATACAACGGAAACATTTGCGTCTGTAAGTGTAGAATTACTCGATTAATCGTTATTTTTGTTGATTCAGTTATTTATTTTTGTTTATTTACATGAATCAACAAACGTTTAAAAAGATACCCACTGTTGCAGACGCACTTTAGAAAGTAGGAAGCAACTTCACATAATATGCAGTGAGTTAAAACGCTTACAATATATGTCATTGAGTGAGTGAACACTTTAATCATTTTGTGCGATTTGGGTTATAAAAGTAATTACAGACAAGAAACAGTATTCCGCTGTGGCAAATGCGTGGGTTGATGTTTGTCAAATTCTAAAATGGGTCGGCACTTGGTTTTTGCTGGATACAGGATGGCGATAAAGACCAGACGACAAACTTCCATTCAGCATTGGAAATGTTCAAAAGAGGATGCACAACCATTATTAACACCAAAGATGACTTTATTTATACATAACATATATATATCGAAACGTCGCTGTTTACAGTATTAAAGAAGGTATTTAAATCTTCAATATTTATTTTCATATATACTAACCTTTTTTATAAGAAAGATCAGAAAAACAAATGGTAACTATGTTGTGGCCTAACTCACTGTGAATGATTTTGAAAACGGGACCCCGCCAAGAGGCGGTTTTCAAAAATAAAAGACTTTTTTTTTTAGATCCATAGTAGTGCACGTTTGGGGCTTATATCTGAAAGCTTATCTCTGGGCGTACCGTCTCATGAGTGATGAGGGTCTCTCAACAGAAGACAGGGCCCGTGACTTCATGAAACAGGTGCGTGTTTATGTTCAACAAACAAGCAAGGGGCTGATATTATCAAACATGTTTGTTTTGCAATAGGCGGTGATTGGGGCGTGGTGTGGCGTTGCCTGTTGGTATTTTCGAGTCGGGAAACGCTCGACTGTTTGTATCGAAATGGTTAGTACACTACCAACGCATCATTTCGTGAATGGAACACATGGGACTTCTCCACTAACACATTAATTTCGCATAAAAAAGATATACAGTTTGAGAGTAAATGGAATCCCAACCCAACAATTCCCAACAATGGTTTTACGCCGCTTTTAGCAATATTCCAGCAATATCACGGCGGGAGACACCAGATATGGGCTTCAAACATTGTACCCATGTCGGGAATCGAACCCCTTGTCTTCGGCGTGACGAGCGAACGGTTTAACCACTAGGCTACCCGACCGCCCCAAATGGATTCAATACCTCATATGGGGTCAGGGTGTTGAGGTTTGAGGTGTAAGGGGTAGTAGTGGAGGGAACACCGCTGCTCAATTTCCGAAGTGAACACGAGATTTGCCAGTGTACAAGTAACAATTGCAACCACACAGTATATACATAGTCTCTCATACCGATACTGAAACTTTTAGCAAGTCTAAATTTCTACAGTTCCAGGAAAAGGAAGAGATTTCTATGAATTAGATATCTATAATACATAAAAAGCAATTTAACACCCCCATCTTCTAAAAGAATCAACAGAAAAAAGAACAGCAGCGTCGATGTGAGACCACAGTGTCGACGTGAGACAACATCGTCGACATGAAACCACAGGAGACAGCAGTGTCGACATGAGACCACAGTGTCGACATGAGACCACAGGAGACAGCAGTGTCGACATGAGACCACAGTGTCGACATGAGACAACATCGTCGACATGAGACCACAGGAGACAGCAGTGTCGACATGAGACCACATCGTCGATATGAGACCACAGGAGACAACAGTGTCGACACGAGACAACAGTCGACATGAGACCACAGTGTCGACATGAGACCACAGTGTCAACATGAGACCAAAGTGTCGACATGAGACCACAGGAGGCAACAGTGTCGACACAAGACAACAGTCGACATGAGACAACAGTGTCGACATGAGACCACAGGAGACAACAGTGTCGACATGAGACAACAGTCGACTTGAGACAACAGTGTCGACATGAGACAACATCGTCGACATGAGACCACAGGAGACAACAGTGTCGACATGAGACAACATGAGACCACAGTGTCGACATGAGACCACAGACCACAGGAGACAATAGTGTCGACATGAGACCACAGACCACAGGAGACAACAGTGTCGACTTTAGACTACAGACCACAGGAGACAACAGTGTCGACATGAGACTACAGACCACAGGAGACAACAGTGTCGACATGAGACCACATAAAACCACAGGAGACAACAGTGTCGACATGAGACCACAGACCACAGGAGACAACAGTGTCGACATGAGACCACAGACCACAGGAGACAACAGTGTCGACATGAGACCACAGACCACAGGAGACAACAGTGTCGACATGAGACCACATAAAACCACAGGAGACAACAGTGTCGACATGAGACCACAGGAGACAACAGTGTCGACATGAGACCACAGGAGACAACAGTGTCGACATGAGACCACAGACCACAGGAGACAACAGTGTCGACATGAGACCACAGACCACAGGAGACAACAGTGTCGACATGAGATCACAATGTTTATAAGTATTAACGTAAAGCCCCATCGTCTTAACGATAGAAGTTAAATGCGTCACAGTATGTGTGTCTTTGACCGGCATCTAGTACTGCCACACGTGTCCAAGGTTCCGGTTCAGACATACTTTCTACACCTCACTTCCCGATGCCGACAACAGTTGCAGTGTAACGGCAGTGACGGGCATATCTCGACAAGGACATCCGCCCACAGACGCTGATTCACACTTGAGAAGTGTAACGTCTTTAAGATTACGTTTTAATAAACTTTATAATTTTTGTGGTTCAATTTTCATTAGTTGATATCAACGTTTAGTTCTGGAATGTTATTTGGAGACTATATGTTTTTGACATCTACAGCTACAAAAACCAGATATTTTCTTGTAGATAAGATAAGATTTATTTCAGAAACGTTCCATTACGGGACAGATGCAATTTTAAAAGACAAGACATTATGATTCATATATACATATATACAGACATACATAATTTACATTCCTGTAAACACATACAAAAACAGAACAACCAATATTACATATTTGATGATATTATTATACATAAAGTGTCAACGGGTGATTATGAGGGGTATGTATTGTTTGAAATGAAAGATATGGAAACAAATGCAGTTGATATTGACTGCTTCATTATTTGACAGGATGTAGTTAAATAATTTGTCTTCATGACTGTGGACATTTACATTTTGTCTGGATAATTTTTCAAAGAGTATATTTCTTTCTTGAGTGTGTTTAATACAGTGAAGTACGTAGTGTTTTTGTATTCAAACTATAAGCCTAAATATCTTTTGGGTAAAAAACACCTTGACGCGATGTTTTCTTTTAGGCAGACATTTTTTGGGCAACAGTCTGATAAATCCCATTGATCCACCTGCCAGCACCCCCAGAATTTCAAATGCTCGTGGCCTAAAACGTTTACACTTTGATGAAACCCACGAGTACGGCTATAGCGCTAATTCACCCTGGACCACATGTACAGTGCGCACTCTGTTCAATCTAAACCGGCCTAGATGATACATTTATATAGATATCATCAGTATTGGATTCTTTTGTTCAAAACAGAGAAATGTTTTGTGTAATAAAAAAAAGATGGATTATAAAACAAGGATCATAATCAAGAAGGACGCATCAGCGGATCTTCCGATGGGAGAGGGGAGGGGGTGTATTTAATGAGATCCCGGTTATGAACAAAGCTCCCTGTTACATCCCAATGCCTCGCTATAACGTGCGGCGAATCATTTACTCGGCAGCCTGGGTTCTCTAGCGCGTTCCCTTCCAGGAGGGTAGGATTACACACTTGAACGCCAAACTTACTAGAAAAATATCCTCGTCACTTCAAATTTGGGTCAGATTTCCTCAAAGAGTAGATTCTTGGCTAATAAACGTTATAATGATCTGACTGTGGTGAAGTCCTTCAGTTCATTCCAAACTCCGTCCGTAAGATGATAATTTAGTTTGTATTGACAAACGTATGTTGCACTTTCAACTTAACTCTTAACATAGGAACGGACCAATTTTGTTTTTAGGTTGGGGTTTAAAGTAATTTTATCCTCTACCAAAAAGACATGTGTATTTTGAGCGAGATAAATATGTCGTTAGTTCGGTCGTTTCTGTTGTCGTATTGGCATCTGCGTAAGTACAGGAAATACTCCCACGTTCAAAATTACCATCCCACGTCACCATTATTCATCTAGGTCTGCACCCGGACGGATCCCTAGTCACCAACTGTCTAACAAATGTTTGGCAGTTAGGAAAAGTAATATTCATGTTCGGAACCGTAAAACGTGGAGTGGAGTCTGGGAGTGGAGTCTTAGAGTGGAGTCTTGCAGCGGTGTCTTGGAGGAGGAATCTGGAGTGTATGGGAACTGACTTCATTATTAGAACGGCGAAATTTGTTGCAAGTTGTAGCGAATAGTATGTGACAGGCAGAAAGGAGACTGATAAGGGCGGAGGACTCACTGGGCTGGAATGACCTCTTTGTTTATACACAGTGGGAGCTTGCTCCTACTGCCCGTCTCCTAGTCCTGCACCATGACCGTGGAATATATTTATTTTATGAAAAAACATAATCTAGAAATGCATACAAAAGCAAGGCTTGCCAACTCAAGCTAGCTCTATCAGCATAGGGATTTTTTTTAAATTTTAGAAGTCAAGAAGGATATTGTGTAATATAAGATTTCAGAGACTAAATGTTAATCTACCCGTCTCCCACCCGCAAGCCTCTCCCACTCTGTAGGTAGCCTTGCTCCAAGGCTATAATAAATGATATGTCCATGGATGGGTAGTGGTTCTATCTTTATAGGCAAGTCTAGATAAGTCTAAGGAAGCAAGTATTTTATAGGGCCCTTATTCTTGTGCAA